AAGGGTTCATCACTGATCCATCTTCTGGAAATCCCATACATTGACCTCTAATCTGTGTCTATATTTGGGTCGGTCTGTCAGTGTTTAACAGTTTTAAGATAAACTTAAGCACATGTTAACTATACACTGCGACGGATAAACCTTTACATAAACAAACAGCATATTAGTTACACTTGAGACTGTATTAATTTACACTGCAGATCAACAAACGGGCAAATATGCATGAGTAAGTCTTGCAGTGCAGTTTGTGTCTTTTAAGCATCTTTTACTTTAAGTTAATACGGACAGATCTGTTCTAATTGTGCTGACCCCATTCAGTCTTTGTAAATGCGTCAGGGGCTATTTTCATTAGATAGTGTGAATGACATAATGCAATTTGAGTCTGTTGTATCAGGTTCTAGCAATTGGGTCATATCTAATTGACTTGTGTAATTGTTTGAGAAATTTACTGGACCAGTTTCACTGGTAACTGAACAAGGATTTTACTGTAATTTAAATGTGTGACTTGTATATATTTGTGATCGGCTTTGTGTGACATCTATTGTTTTTCCTGCTCTCCTCATAGCAATAAAAAAAAGCTTACAACAGCATTTATTTTTACGTTTGCAAACAACTATAAACTACAGCTGCAAAATCTCATCTTGCAGTAGTTTACCTCTCATTCTCTATCGTTGCCTGCGCTGTTGATAGACTCAGTCCGGATGAGAGAAGAAGTAGTTTAAAAAAATTACAACTTAGTCTTTGGATCCCCAATCTGTACCCATTTTCATCAGAAATGTATAATGCTTGGACTATTTTAAAAGTGTTGCTGGCACATAGAGATTATCACCGTTATATAAAAAAATGTGTTAACATTTGTCAAATCATTTATGACCTCTTGAACTCCAATTATTTATGTCATTATTTCTAAAATGTTCTTTTAACATACTTTCCGAGAAAGTATTTGTATTATGATAAATGGGGTTTTTTCAGGCAGATACAAACATACAGTGGGTCATCAAGTATTTTTAATAAATTTGTAATGTTTCTGGCTATCAATCATAGTCCCGTTGGATATTTGTCATAGTACAGCACATGTCAGTTACCAAAAAAATAAAGCTTACTGAACATTTCCTTTTCCCATCTGTCTGCAGCCCCATGTCTATCAGCACTAGAGGCTTCTAACTCACTATACATTTTCTTCTGCATTTCCAACCTATGGATTGCACCCTGCAAGGCCTCTGGAATGAAAGGCTGCTCTTGTATAACAGTATCTTGGAGTGTGTCAGAGCTGTGACCGTGGGACTGCAACTGTTATGTTGGAGAGTTACGTACAAAGTTTGATCCGGGGGAAGGCTTGAAACCCCAGGAGAAATCAATGTAGCCATTCTCCGTCGGAGAGACTGCGGTGAAAAGTTAAGATAGGGATCTGTCAGGGTTTCACAAACACCAGATTGAGCTGGAATGAGAGCAATCCCTAGAGACTTTGTATATCGAATTCTAAATCCAAGTTATCTGTGCCCTACACTTGCAAACATATGTACAGATAATGAAAGCATGGCAGTAACAATCTTTCACTCTCTGAAGTGTATTACTATCCTGAAAGTGCAACAACGAGGCAAGTCATGAACAATGATTGAAGAGCACTGTGTCAGAAACTGCAGCATATTCTGGCTTTGAAGCATTTTCGCTATGGATTGTGTGAGCAATGATGTATGGCATAGTTTCAAGAGCCTTACGTGGTTTTGGCACAGTATCATTGCGTTGATGTTTCTATAAGCAGGCAGGAACTGGTGCTAGCAAAGGCCCTGTCTGATGCCGATTCAGTCTCGTCCCTGTGACACTGTTGTGAGTGCCCTCAGGTTGGAGCTCTGAATATTTTATCCAGATTTGACCTGCAGGACTGCATGTGCATTATGCAGACATGGTCGGCTAGAATTCCCTTCCTCTCTCTCTCTCTCTCCCTCTCTCTCTCAATGACTGCATCAGTAAACAGACCCCAACAGACCATCCCTGATGCATCCTCTCCTCTCCTCCCTGTCCCATCGTTGTTTACCTTCCCTCCGTGCTGCTCCCACTCTTCTCTCCTCCTGTCCTTCTCTTTCCCCCGCAGGCCCAGGGCCCCAGCCTTATTTAGCTTCCCTTCCGCCAGACCAACGCTACTATAGAGAGACAACAGCCGTAATCGATAAGCAGCATCTAATGCAGTGTCCAAAACTGAGACAAACAAAGACTCGCAGCTCAGCTCTCTCTGATACACCAATACTGCCTGCATGCACTGTGTGATACAACCAAGGTGGCATTGGGGAGAAGGGAAGGGAGGCAAAGGAGAGAAAGAAAGACCCCAAGAGAACACATCAGCATCCCAGTATCCCCGCATCCATCTCCCTATATACCCCTACACCCCCCCTCCCCTACACCCCTCCTCCGTACACAGACATAGAGAGGATGGATTTACCTTCTGTCAATGATTTTAGGCACTTCCTCATAGATGAGTCCAGGCTGAAACTCTTCCTCAGAGAAGGAGAGCACAGGCCGGCTGAGAGCGGACAGCAAGGCGAGGGAGCAGAGGAGGAATGCGTGTGCAGCCATTGAGACAATGAAAGGAGACTGCCGCTGGTTGAGCTCCGCTTCATAATCTGCTCTCCTAGCAGTGCCTGACTCCCAGCTCTTCCGACTGGCAGCCACCACGGCCAATCAACGGCAAGCAGAGACGATTAGCTTGCGTCACATTCCCCTCACTGCACACCCTCCCTCCTCCTCTCCTCTCCCTCCCACCCTACTCTGTCATCCTCCCTCTGCCTCTCACACTCTGCTCCAACCCCCCCCCCCTCCCACATCCATTCCTGTGCTCTCTATCTTCTCTTCCTCTGTTTCATGCACACATAGCCGCAGGCAAGCCCTATGTATAGACAGCGGCTCATTCTTTTTCATAGCACATCTCATCATACCTGTGATACCTACAAATTAAAACATCCATACACATGTAGACACACTCACACATCCATGTTTGCACATGAGCCAGCACACACACAGTCACAGCAGCTGACTCACACACACACACACACACACACACACACACACCTCTGTGGAAAATCACCTGGGAATGTCAAGGTCAGATTGTGCAGGAGGATAGGAGGATGTTGACGTGACTTTAGGTGGCCACAAAAAAAAAACAGAGCCATGACTGCATGACCTAGATCTCCAGAACGCTTCCACAAAAGCAGAATTAATTCACTTGATCTATGTGTTGTTGTGAGCGCTGAGAGGGCCCGCGGCTGAGAAAATTGTCCACTGAGGCTGCAAATATGGATGACAGGAGCAGCTGAGCAGCCGTGAGATGAGACAGGACTGAGGGTCCAACCCTGACGACCCTGATGGCCGATCCAGTTTTCTCATTATTTAGCCCCCAATGCATGCAATGCCTCAGGATCTTGATACATCCGCTCACATCTTTTATTTCCATATCCGATGATATGATTTTTAGAGCAGAACATTAAGAGAGGTTATATAACCAAATGTTGTGACATATTATCATATTAGATTTTCACATTGATGCGTGGCAATGATTCACACTAAAAGAGTCACTGTAGAACAATTAGTTTTAGCTTTTATACACAATAAAATATATGACTATTGAATATAACCTTTACCTGATTATTCCAAGGATTATTGGAAGTAATATTTGAGTAATATTGAGTTAAATATTGAAACCTGAGACGCCATGTTACTATTAGTAAATTATGAGTTGCCCTGTAATTTGTCATACAGCAGCTTGTGGGACTGGTATGTTTAAGTGGATAATGTATTGTAGAAATACACTTACATACTCTTTTTTTGCCTCATCTGTGTGTCTTTTGTTGTGGTAACTATTGTGCCGCACCTTTATGAGCATCCATGTGTCATGGTTTGTAGGACTATATTGAATATATCATTTTGTTTGCATGTTTGTGTGTGTGTGCTAACAGGGTATTGCTGAGTGTGTGTGTGTGGGTGTGTGTGTGTGTGTGTGTGAGAGGTCAGCTGTGTCTCGTAGGCCATACAGTAACAGGAGGTGACTAAAGGCTGTCTCAGCCCTCTGCATCTGCCCGCCACAGTCACTTCAACAGGCCAGTGTGTCAGTACTGGAGGGAAAGTGCAAACTACACTGTCACTGCTGCCATCCCACAGTGACTGCATCACAGAACGTCCTGCAGAAAGATGTCCAGGTGTGAGGACTTTAAAAGACGATATTACGCCATGATGTCTCATAACATTATGTCCAACATAACATACTGGATACACAGACAGTTTATCTCACTATCACCATGTACTTATAAAACATTTGCTGTCTTTGTGACTTTTCCAGCCTAACGTTAGCTTTTTACTTCTGCCGATTGCATTTACGCATCAAAAATCATAAAAGTAGCGTTCATTTGTGAAGTATAATTTACTTTTGTTTGCCACAGAGCTGCTTTTCTGCAATAATCCATTTTTGTCAAAAACAGTACTCTATACTACTATCACATGTTATTTCAACTCTGAGTGAGGCTGTATTCTGTGTTGGCTTTGCTTTGGGATTGGTTGTAAGGTGCTCTTTTTGTTCACCCAGTTTCTGTCTCGGTGACTCACAGCATTTTAGATTATGAAACAGATCGAACACACAGAGCTTGGGGTTACTGTGTATTTATAGCTATGATCTCATATGCAACTTTTTAATCCTGCTCTTTGTGCCCACATGGAGCACAGAGGCCCGCACTACACAGGGTGATGTAACAGGTTAGTGCCGTTTTCGATTGATCTACAGCATGTGCTGACGATGATATATTGCTAATCTACCAGCTAACATGAGCATCTGATCTCTGCTTTTAAAGCTGTAGTCAAAATGCTAAAGCCTGATCATTAAAAGGCCTCGAGTGTTGTGGGAGGGTAATTGCATCACTGCGAGTATTTATGGATATGTATATTACAGTGTATAAGTGTGTGTAGCTCTACATTTATGACATTGCATGAATGTGTTTTAATAAAAGATGTGGGAGGAGTCACATTTTGATTATGTGTTTTTTATTGGTATATATATTTGCTTTCTGCAACAACACTGTCCATCATATAGTTCACTGCCTGTGTTGCCTTTTCTGACGACCTTGCTCTCTACACAAGCACACACACACACACACACACACACACACACACAGACTTACAATCTTTCATAGTAAAGACATGGTCAATAAATAAGGCAACCTAAGACGACAGGTATCATTGCATGATGCAAATATTATGGTCCTCAATTATAAGTGGTGGATTAATTACGTCTTATTTGTCATGAATACATAAGCATCCCATCCTTCTAGTCAGGTGGTTCTCAGCAATCACGTTTACACTTCTCACACGTGTGTTTAATGACAGCAAATTAACTCTTAAAATAAATAAAAATTGTTGCCATGAAGTCCCAATCCTGTTTACTGAATTTGCATTCAACACAGTATATATTTCCAACACTTAATGCGAAAACATCATTTATAAAAACTAGCCTATTTATTAAATATAGAACAATCTCCAGGTAAACACACAGTATGCTGATTAATCTGTTGAGATTACATAACCTCCTTAAAAGCTTTTAGTGTGTCACTGCTTCATGTCATACAGGCATTGTCCCAGGCAATATGATATAAGGTGGATATATTATCTATTGATATGCAATTAAACTACCATGTAGTACAAAGCTAAGAAATCGAGCATTATTATCTCCCAATGTACTCTGTCAAGACCGCACTCTTTGTTTATAACTGGCAATATTTCATCATAAATAAACACAGATTCCTTCTATAAAACTATATCCATTCATAAACACTCCCCGTGTAGTTTTTGGTTCTGTAAACCAGTAAAATGCAGAGTTACAGTCTCTACACCTTTAAGCTGGCAGGATCAATCATGTGATACTACGCAAAAGAGAAACCCTCCACACAGAGCAATGCAAAGATTTGATTGGCTGAAACCTGTGAATGGCCAACATTGATGATTAGCATTCATGTCACAACACTGCAGTTTCATTCAGTACTCGGTTCCACTTGGCTGGCGCAATGCCACCCTGTACCACTAGAGGGCGGTCACATATAGCCCAGCAGTATGAACTCAGTCCTTCAGTAACGGTCTTATTTCATGAGGCACAATGTTAACATAAGAAACGTGGAGTGTATAATATGGTATTATAGTCACTGGAGAAAGTCATTGCAACCCCTAAAACACAGCATTGAGCTTTATCAGTCACTTAATAAATAAATGAATAAATTAAATACATTCAAGTTAGCAAAAGTAATACATTGTTAGTGTGATAAAACTCAACTCCACACCTGAAAATGTGTAACGATACGTAATCTTTCAAGCTGGTTAATTGCACAGTTCACCGTTTCCCTATAGCAGCAAGAAATCCTACGTGTGATCAGAATAAAGTCCTAGAACTAAGCTCAACTGATAAAGTCTCCCTTCACAAAAGGTAAACTGAAAATAATACATTCCAAATGGATGATATGGAAACAGAAACTGAATGTCTGTGAGACGTAGAGTAGATGATAATTGATCCGTCAGCATAAATTACCTACATGCATGTCCTAATTTGTTAGCCCTCAGAATAAAATCATGACATTTTCTCTCTAATAAACATGTGTCCTTCTTCCTTGTCTCCTTTCCTTTAAGATACAAAAGTGACAGACAAGTAGAGGCAGACATTCATTTATAGCTTTTAGATACACCCGGGTCTAATATGCTGAGACCCTCTGTGAAGACGTCAGGACTTCTAGTACAAAGCTGACCTAGATCTATACACAGTGCTTTTTCGTTACTATGACCTTTTTTATAATTAAAATACAATCTAAAAACTGGCAGAATGTGTAGTCACGTGCCTACAATATTGTCTGCAAGTTTGTCTTTTACCCATACCTGACTAGACTAAAAGAAAAATAATAAAATCACAGATAATATCAGAAGCATAGGTCTACCCATGTATCAAGAGTATAGTCAAACTAGACAACAACTATCATGCCAAGTCTATGTTTATCTGACAGGTGTAAAGATACTCTTCATGATAATATTTCCTCACATTGTTATGTGGTTGGATACAGAGTCATCTTCCCATATGATTTGATTGTCTAGGAACTAAATGTCAGAGAGAGAGATAGAGAGAGAGGCACCATACTGTAAGGAAGGACGAGTAAAAGAAATTGGAAAACAAATGAAGAAGTCTCTCTATATAAATATAAACTCTCGAATTGTCTGATAACTATGGAGTTGGTCAGCGCTTGATCAATGCACACAAATATAAAACGGCAGTCCTGGAACAAATCGTTTGTCCTAATCTAGGATCAGCTTTAGCCTCCCTGCTTTCTAACATTTGCCTGCGAGGCCGGAGAGGTAAAACTAACCCCAGGTTAGCGTCTAAAAGCAGCTATACCAGTCTATAAAATGCGCATTAAAAGAGAGAAGGCACAGAAACACAAACCCACCGTGGAGTGGGGTGGACTGACAGCAGCAGTTTTTTGGGAACAAACTGGATGAAGCTGCAGGTCTGCTGGCAGCAGATGGGTTGCTTACGAGTTGCGCTTTCTGGAAAAGAGCAGAGACTTCTATAGTTGCTGTCTCATTTTCATTCAGTTTGTTTTCTACGTGGACACAACTGAGTCGTTTACTATTCTTCTCCTGGCCCCAAATAAGTCATGAGCCTCAGACGTCTGTCAGTAACTAGAGCCACAGTCACATTCAGTGGATGATAAACCAAGAGGCGACTCTGTCGTGTTCCTGAATGAACCCCCCCCTGTAGACAAAAAGGGCGTTTGTTCATTCGATCCATTGCATAAATATCCCTAACCTGCACCGAGCACAGAAAGCTGGTATACCTTGTGTCCCACAACAGAACAGATTTACACTGCTTTCCTGAAGGGGGCAGCCACTTATGCAACAGATGAGATGCAGTCCTTTTATTATACAGCTCATCCTATTTCACCACACCTGTCTTCTCCTGCGTTGTCTGATTCACTGCCTTTAACCGGGCAGGTTCTGTCTTTTCAGCTGCCGGCTTAGCCACAGTCATGTTTGCCCCTTTGCTTTCTTGCCTCTTCTCCGGTTTGGTTGCGTCCCCGGTCTTGCTGGTGCTACGTTGGTGGACAGGGGTTGCTGCTTTCACGAGGCTGGGTGCTTTACCATGGGGGGGCACACGGGGCTCTTCTCCAATGTCAACGGTGAGGTTTGTGTAGAGTGGCTCCAGCTCTCTGGAAAGGAGCTCGTAGGTCAGAGAGTTGAGGCCGTCAGAGCGCCAGTTGAGTCTGGTCCTTTTCAGAAGGTCAAACCTAGAGAGACGTACATAATATCACAGGTTTGTTTGCATGTGTGTGTGCATTTCAGGGGCAAACTTTAAAGGTGTGACATTATGGGACGTTTGTTAATTTGCTTTCTTGCATATAATCAGCCGCTCTCATGTCTGTGTGCTAAATATGGTGCTACAGCCAGGAAACAGTTTGCTTAGCTTAGCAAGCAAAGACTGGAGGCGGGTCCAAAGTTTACACAACCTGTTTTTGAATTAATCTAAAGAGATGGTTCTGTTCTCTTTGGACAGAGCCAGCTAGCTGTCTCCCCTTGTTTCAAGTCTTTAAGCTAAGCTAACAGCATCCTGGATGTACGTAGCTTCATATTTAACAGACAGACATGAGAGTAGCATCAATCTTCTCATCTAATTCTCTGCAGGAAAGTCAAAACGCAAATCAATTAGGTTTAGATATATTCCCATGTGAATGTGTCCTGTGGCGCTATGGCTGATTACGGGAGCTTGTTTTCATAACCAAAAAAATATTTCCAAAGCATTATGGGCAAGAAAAATTGAGTGAAAAATAGAATGTAATAGAAAAATTAAAAGACAACATAATTGTAATCCCATGTACTCTGTCAGAAACATCCAAATTGCCCTACAAAATTAGATCAAAGGGCAAAATATCCCTACTTAATTTCTGTGTGTCTGCAAGTGTGTCTATCTTGTACCTGCGTGGGTTTTGTTCATTGCCTCTGTCTCCTTTATGCTTGATCATCTTGTAATGACCAATGGCCACTGGAGGGCGCATGATCTTCATGCCAGATAGACGTACTCTAGATAGGAAGCACACAAGAGTCAACAGGAACAGCAGATTGTCATTCACAGTCAGAACAATATTAAATCAACAAAACCTGGCACTTAAGTAGTCATGCTATTTTTTTATAAACACAAAGCAACTCTCAGTCCGAGTACATCTAGCCTCTAAGGGATACATCTAAAAGCAGAAAAGTAAAGAAAACAAACAGAATTGTGGGTGACATATGAGAATAACATACTTTTATAGCCTATAGGCGGTGGAAAACACTGTGGTTCCCTTTTTCCATCTCTGGTGCTTGTGTAGCACCCCAGTTATCTAAGTCAATCAAAACACGGTGTAACTAATGTTGTGAATGTCCAGTACATGATACATTTTAAGTTGCAAACATCATGCACAAAAGGCAAAGTGTTACAAAAAATAGGGGAGAAATGTTCTCGTAGTTTTATTTTCTTGTTCCTTTCACTGTCAGATTAGCAAACGGTAGAAGAGCCAGAAAGTGGACAGAGGGGACCGCAGTATAGAAATGAGATGAAAACTGCCTGAAAACTCTTAAGCACGCAGCCCAGATCCGCAAGCTAGTCCATGTGAACATACTCACTGAGCCCACTCCAAGACACACACAGCAAAGCCACAGCAGTGGGATTAGACGTGACGATGATGGATGATGTTAGAACAGATGAAATAAAAGTCAAAGAAAAGGAAAACATGTGGTACAGAAACTGTAAACGTGAGAAAAGAAAGGAATGCGTAGCGCAAAAGACATTAAAAAAGTACAAGAAGCTGAGTGGCTGTGCATGCAGTTCTGATGCTCAACACCCATGCACATCTCACATGTTCACATGCACAGTTTACAGTTCACTCTGTCATGCAGGACCTCTGCGTCATTATCCCTCCTCACCTAGCAGCAATGTCATCATCCTCTCCACCCCAGCCCCAGTACTGGTTAGGAAAGCCGTTCATCTTCATGTATTGGTCTGGGGTAACTGCAGACACCCCACCAAAATACTGTGGGTACGGCAGCCTGGGAGGGTCATATCACCAATGTACAATCTTGAAAATAATGTCTCAGCACAATACACTGTAGAAATCCATCTACTCTCACACACACACTTTGCTTCTACCTGTATCGGAACTTGTCCATGGCCACAGACTGGTGTGTGGGGAACTGTTTGTGGCAAGTGTAGGTGTTGTGGTCGTTCTCGGGCAGCAGGTCGACATCGTGCAGGAAGATGCAGCTCCAGTCTTCATCTCTGAGGGCCTCCCGCACCCCAACATTCAGCAGCTTGGCTCGGTTAAAAGTACCGTTCCCCCACTGAAGTCAGAAACAGAGACAGAGGGTAACACAGCTACACATGAATGTATTAAGTCTAAAACAAATACAAGCACGAGAGAGCACGATGTGTGAGTAAATATTCTCATGCTGTGTTGTGTATATTGTAGCCTGACAAGTTACAGACATCATGACTTATCAATGTCCTTAACAATATTATTATAAATATCCAGTTAATCCAAATTACGTAAAAAAACAACAACACATGTTCTCATTTAGGCTGTAATCGCATCTACTGTAGCCATTTAAGACACCTGTCGCTTAGACTCGCATTTCTCATAACAAAGACAATGCAAGCTATTGAATAACACTCTGAAAAAACATCTAGATAATACATTTTTAAACCAGCAATGCACACACAAACACACACTCATTGATAACCATACCTGCTGCACTATATAGATGCTGTAGTGGATCTGCTGTCGTTGCAGGAAGGGGTGGAGGTGATAGAGGAGGGCACGGAGGTGGGTCTGCCGGTTCCGGTATGGCACCACTATCGCTGTGTGGTGGCGGGGCTCACAGTCAGGAGGCCGGTAGTGACCGCCTGGCAACACTAACGGGTTCCTCAGTCTGATCTCCTCCAGGGACAGAGGAGAGGAAAGAAGGACAGACACAGGTCCGACTGGAGGAAAGAAAAAAGGTGTTAGAAGTGATATTGACCGTCAGCTTAGAATGCCACACGATCATTCACTCTGCATTTTTTTTGTACATGCATCACACATTTAACCCCTCTCGCTCTCTCACCCAGCAGTGGGGAAGGGATCTGGCAGTCTCTCAGCGGTGGTCCTGTGGGAGGGGGTCCGGTGCCAGAGTTGCGAGGCGGGGGAGGCGGTACTCCCAAATGACTGAGGTTGGTGTAGACGTCGTGAGGTCGAGAATAATCAAACTCTGGCCCTGTGGTGTGCACCAGGACAGACACCAGGCCTCTGAAGCCCCCAAGGGAGAAATAGAGAACAAAGGCAAACTGGAAGCCCACCAGCAAGGCCAGTGTACACGGGGAGTCCAGAGAGCGTCCGTAACACGCCATAATAAAGTAAGATTTTAGCGGTACAGTGGAATTCAAACTTTGGGAAAATGGATGGAGGAGTGGGAGGAGAGATTCGGGGGGGAGGAAGTGGCAGCTGGATGAGGATGACGGACGGGAGAGGTGGGAAATGAGCAAGGGGAGGCAGAAGGAGAGGAGGGGAAGGAGGCAGCGCTCAGTGCAGGCTCAGGCGTTCAGGAGGGGTGTGTCCATCTGTAGGAATGGGTAGTAGTGGTGGTGAAGCTCAGTCAGCACTGCCATCACCTCCTGACCACAGACGTCACTGGGAAGTAAGAATAAAAACAATTTTAGTTAATTGCATTCATTGCTTGTTATCATTATCATCATAATCATCTCATTACATCAATGTAGATGGAGGGTATACCTGCTATTGCGAGGGTCTAATTAAAACCTGTCCTGGGCCAGGATGGGCTCACTCCACCTCTCTCCTCCTCTTCCTCCTTTCATCATCAAGCTTTCTGTAATAACAAAAACAAAGAGTGAGTAACAATGCAGGAGCAGATCTGTCTCAGTACTACTTAGTAGTCATACTGTAAACTAAAATAAGCTGGGGAATGACAAGCAGCTACAAACAAATGTCATGTTGGCTTCTTTATTTAGAATGGCTTATTTTCAGCAGTGACATTTCCATGGAGCTGATATAGAAGAAACGCTGATGCCTGCTGCAGATCAAATTAATCCAACATCACAGTTCCCTGTTCGTCCAAACAATCACATGCTACAGCAAGCCTTGTGGCTTCTACACTGGAGCTGACAAGAGTCACTGGAGCAAACACAAATCCATTGCTATGTAAAATAGACCAGTGTGGAGCAGAAGCAGCGCCATGGCAATCAGTACAGATAGCCTTCAAACTAGGTGATTAGCCTATCAACATCGTCGGGCCTATGCAGGATATTATGTACAGTATTAACGTGACTGAAGATTAAAATGTGCCAATAACGTGCATTCGATAGGATCACCGGCTGTAAAGGCTGTTCCTGAAACCCCTGATATTTAATTTAGGCTGCACACAAGCTCTGCAGCACCAGCCGACTCACCAGCACATCCCTGCGACATTTCAAATCCAGCCCCCGGCTTCCTCGGAGAATCGACGGGGCCGCTGCCACCGAGTCGACGCGATGGACCAAAATAAAGCGAGGTTTTTTCTTTCTGATGCTGGTCGCTCTTCCTCCTCCTCCTCCTCCTAATCTCTCATCCGAGGCGAAATCTCTCCGTAGCTGCTTAGAGAGCGCTGCAAACGCTTTGACACGCAAGAGCATCGCCGCGTCAACACAGGCAAGTGCGCTCTGCCTCATCGACACACGGCTGGATCATTGTATCGTTGGATCAGACGGGCTGATGGGCGCACAGCCGCGGTGACGACGCACGGAGCGGCATATTTGAAAATGAAATTATGATATTGAAACCGATGGTTGGTTGATGAATGCATTCATATTCGACCATGCAACAAAAAATGCTGACTAATCATCAGAAGTTGGAAGTTGGTTCGGTCATCATTAGGTGCACGTTATGCAGCGACATGTATTTTGACTTCAAACATTTGGCGTTCATTTCCAATTATAACCGAACCTGCTTGGATAGGTAACGTTGAAGAAACCAGCAAGCGTAAACTATAGATTCAACCAGGTAACCAGCTGAAAAACCCAGTCCAGTGTTCCCAACTCTTTTTAAATGAAAGCAGCTGGAAGTAAAAACTCCAAAAATCGCTTAATCTACACTGACAGCCCGGCCATTCAGTCGTCCCTCCAAAGCGACTCCCCCCAAACATATACCCTTATTTGTCAGACTATTTGATTTATTGATTGGCATTGGGATGTAAAATAAATTCTAAAATGTTAACTGTATATATATATATATATTTGTATATAATCAAAACTTCATTATTGCTTTTAAAAGTTGAATTGTAGATCCAGTGGAGCATCTGAAGTTGATAAAACAACAATGTCACCCTACATTTGAGTCTGCATGTTGTCATGTGTAAGTTTATATCATTTTTTCTGTGTGAAAATGTAGAAGACGTTATTAAAATGTCTGTTAGTATGCAGGACTTTTCACATTTTCTGCGAATTCGTCCTTTACCGTGCTCTGCTTGTTTCTGTGTGTTAGCACTGAGGATGTGAACACACCACACAAGAGACTTCTGGGAAAGATTATAAAATTGTGGAAATGATTCTCACAATACAGGAGGAATGTGACAAGAAATTGTGGTACCACCAGTCAAGACAGTTAAAATCAATTCTGATGCACACAAAAAATCGAATTAAACAATTTTCATTCTTTTCATCAGTTAACAAAAGACAGCTCGCAGTTAAAGACAGCTTAAGTGTTCTTAAGTTATGTGTTCTGTAGTCATATTGAATCGATTGACAAAGTTACTATTTGGACTTTATTTTCCATTTAAAGATGTCAGATGAAATGCTTATCATGGATTCAAATTGAAGACAAACATCAAGCCAATATTGATTACAATATCACAAACTCTCACTTTAGGATTGAATCCCACGAATGTCCAAAGAATCAGTTGTTGTCACATAATGCCTCTGCTTAGACTTTTGGATGTATTCATCAAATGTTTGCCACTTTTGCTATTTCTTCTTTATTTCTCACACAGCATCCAACCCATGGGCATCAGTTGTTCTCTGGCTTTATGCAGCAGGCTAAAAATGTCTTTATTCACATGCAGCAGTTTATCAGGTTACAGAACCGAGACAGGACAGAATACTAATGGCTAAAGTATAGTTGCACATAGGTCTACCAATGTAAACAGGCTAACCCTCCAATAACCCTGAAGCAGATGAAGCATAACAGAAAGAACTGTGCAAAACAATGCATCAACACTATACTATTGTTTGTAGCACTATGCGAACACACTGCCTTCATTGTCTCAAAGCAAAGCGGATGTGTGTTGTCTCTAACTGGGGCAAAAACCCCACTACCACTGTATTAAAGTACCATGCAGACAGCATAATATTTAGTAAAGGCACAGAATAGACTCCTTACACAGGCAGGCTGGTGGTTCAGTTAGAAACGATGTTTAGCACTGATGAGGATGATTTTAAAATGTACTTATTGCCCTTTTTATCAGTCAACTTTCATATGTACAAAAATGTATTTGAACTGGTAAACTTGAATAATAGTTTCTACACTATGTGCAGTTATTTTTGTTTCTGTAAATGGTGGAAATTGCCCCCAAATCTGTGACTACTGGTGATGAATACAGTATCATTTGATCACAGAGTTGAGGGCCAAATGGCTTCAGATCAGTTAAACAGGGGCAACGTGATGTACCTCCCAAATCAGCACACACACACAAAGTATAAAAAAACTATAATGCATTGCTTTTCTATTTATTTATTTGTTTTACTTCTAAACCAAATTGGTAATATAAAAGAGACATCTATCTCAACAAGCACTATTGTGTAAAAAGTATGGAATTAAAACACAAGTTCCCATTTTTCATCGAAAACAATCTTCTCAGACATTCTTCTCTGTTTTATCCATTTCAAATGGCAAAACTTTCAAAACCTTAAAATTCAAAAATGAGAAAAACTCAGGTGAAGTACTGCCAGCACTTTGTTTTCCACTCCCTTCAAGTTATGTGATTGCATTTTTCACTTCTCTTTCTATTTCATCAGTTTATTGCCCCTCCTCCCCGTCACTCATCCTCTCTCCAAAAACAATAATAATAAAGATAATGATCTCAAATATGAACTCCCTTCCCTCCATCTCTCATTTTTTTTTCCTTATTTAAATTATCTGCTCCTCCGCCATCACCTTCCTCTCACTTTCTCCATCTCTCTGTATCCCCCTGTCTTTACTTTTTGTAGTTGCCAAACTGAATAGCCCGACGATCGCTGACACAGCGGAACGTTGCGGGCTGCACCTCCCAGTAGTTGACAGGGTTAGCAAACAAGCTGATGCCGTTGTAGAACGTCCTCTTCATCCCAAATCCTCGAGGGCAGAAGTCATCCACGCTCACCTGGTCGATGTTGTTGGAATGGAGGTACACCACCTAGAAAGCAGGAGCGCAAAGTCGAGGGTGAGTGGAGTGTCGCGTGAAACGTCCAATCTCAGATGGCAAACTAAATGTGTGGATGGTAGACTCACCTGTAGGTATTTCATATCTGGGAGGCCTTTGGGAACACAAGTGAGGCGGTTGTTGTCCAGATGCAGCTCTCTCAGCCTGGGAACGAAGGACAGACTGCCGTTCTCTATGTTACGGATATGGTTAAATCCAAGGCCCAACCTGGAAAAAGTGAGATAAAGGGGGAAACGTGAAAAATGCAGAAAACGGGCCACTGTACGGTAGATTTAGCTGAATTGTTTTACCAATGTGAGCTGGAGTAACTGCACATTCCCTGATGAGTATCATTGCAGCTGAGAATTAGGGCCACAGCAGCCTGGCAATACTCCTGTGACTATAAATAGTCCCATTAGAGGTTAGGAGTGTGTATGAAGGAGCAGAGCAACAATGTAGAGAGGAACACCTGAGCTTTTATCCTGCGACTCTTCAGTGGCATGTCAATGTAGTTCATATTATTACCCCTGAGGGGCACTGCTGACTGGGGATGTTGTTTTTTAATCCACAAGAAAATCCCTCAAGGTGCAAGAAATCAGTTACGAAACGAGTATGATGTTGAGGTGTGTGTGTGTGTGTGTGTGTGTGCGTGTGTGTGTGTGGGTGTACATGTACCTGTACAGGTTTTTGTAGCGGCTCAGGTCCTCCAGTTCCACAGCCTGGATCTGGTTGTTGTCCAGATGAAGCTCATGGAGACTGTCTGGGAGATCTGAAAGAGAGACAACATAACACGTAAGGCTCCACTGAGATTTGATTTTGTCCAGTGGCTGTCCATTCCCTGTATTCCTTGTGAAGATAAATCCATTGTAAATATGTTAGCATTTTAGCCACACAGATGAGTTGTTACCTTTTGGCACCCCAGTTAATTTGGACTCTGATATACGCAGATAATTCAGTTTCAGTCCCTTGAAGGCTCCAGGCTCAAACCCGCTGTTATAGATGGGGTTTGCTCCCATTTCTGCAAGATGAAGGGAATATTTGTGGCATGAAATTAAAAAAACTGTCTCTTTAATTTTCTATACATGTGGCAAAGGCAGTGGTGAGCACCACAGTGTATAGCCTAGATTTGTTGGAGTCATCAGCATTTCTGACCTATGCAGTTCATGTTGCCCAGTCCTGCGAAGGCTCCAGCTGTCACCTTCTTGATGCGGTTCTCGTGGATCCTCATCTCAACCAGAGAGGCCGGCAAGTTCTTGGGAATAGTGGTCAGCAGATTCTTGGAGAAGTAGAGCTTCTGCATGTGCTTCAGAGGCACAAATGTTCTGGGGTGGACTTTGGAAATAAGGTTATTCCTCAGAGACAGAGCCTGGAAAAAACCAGTAACCATAGTGAGCCAAACGAAACACTTTAGCACTCAGACAGTCAGAAAATAAAAAGAAAGTAAGCTAAAACAACACACAGAATACACAGGAGCCTGTGTTTGCATCCTCTGTCTTTACTGAATGTGTTTGAGTGAATTAAAACTGATCCTGCAGTCGATCTCGTCATTGCCAAATGTCTCTCCACCTGCGCTGGCTAAAAGATGGAGATGAGGCAAACAGACCTTAATAGAGATGTTATTGTATAATGTCATGTTGCGAGTTTTCTACTCGATTCGATATTGCTCTTGGTCAGCGCTCTTAAATGCGGGTCAGGAGTGAGCAAAGCCTTTCTGCTAAGAGAGACAAAGATGTGAGCTTGAATACTCCCATTTGGCTTCAGGCTCGAACTTATTACAATTAAAGCTTTCAGAGCGAAGGGTGGAGGAGGGCGAAAAGGAAAAGAAATGAACCTTTTAAATCCTCAAGGAAACAGAGGATCATTATGATATTTCACACTACTGAAGCCAACACAGGTTGAGCTGAGTCGTTCATACATCCCTGAGAGGTGCTGATCTAATGCATTATGAATGTGACCAGAGTGTGTGTGTGTGTCTCTCTTACATATAAGTTAGTCAGGCCTTTGAAGTCATTCTCTTTCAGCTCAGTGATGCGGTTGTTCTGCAGGTCCAGGAACTTGGTGTCTGGAGGAATATTCTTTGGCACCTCAGTCAGACCTGCAGACGAGACCAATAAAAACACAGAAGGGAATCATGCTCCATTGGATGCTTCCATGGGGGAACCAACGCCCTAAAAAACAGATTGTTTTCAAGGAGGCAAGCTCTTAAGATATCTTAGTCAGACATAGACCATGGAAAATAAATAGTCACTGTGTGTTTTAAAAACCTCCATCAGGCCTAAACATGAACCCAATCACACTCCCACACGATCTCAAATGAGCACTTTGGGGCTCCTCGTCTATTATTTTAATGAGAGGTGGACATAGACACAACCATGGAGGTCAAACAGAGACGTCAAAGCAGCACATAACTAACATTACTGGTTTGTCACTTACAAAGACATGGCAGATGGGGACACCAGATGTTTTCCATCTGGTTTCCATTCGACAGAAGTCACAAAGGATGTGACTTAAATACCATCAGCAAAATCACACATCACATAAAAGGGAGGCAGGCACAACCCTGACACACACACACACACACACACATAAGTACAAGCTGTGTGTGTTAATGGGTAAGTGGTGAAGCTACCGTGCCAAGGTGTTAGAAACACCTGCTAAGAAGTCATGTAGAAGTAGAGTGTGCAGTTAACAACATCATGACAAGCATAAACACCAAGCGCTGTTACGGCTAGGGTTGCGCTTGTGTATATTCTTTACCAAGCAATAAATTCATAAAGGCTAAGAATGGGTTACAAAAAGCGGACGGCGTTAAGAAACACACCTGCATTATTCTATTCAGGGATCTGGAAAAATGACTCAGCGCATGCACAAACACAGCAACCAGTGATCATTAACTAGACCACATCACAAGAGGACACGTGGATGAGTGTATCAGATGTGGTCAGTGGCGCAGACAGGCCACTGTAAGCGAATCCCGACCAGGGCCGAACTCATCTGGATCAGGCCCATGATGCAACCAGACCCGCTGGTGAGAGAGGACGCCAGCTGTCCCACTGGGATCCAGTTTGCCACCAACCACATCTGTCCCACAGGACTCTACCCAGAGCTGTCCATCTAGAGTTAAGTTTAGCTATATGGCTTTGGCTGCACTGTGCCCCACCCTCCGTGTCACCACACAGGATCAAACCCTTTGACATTCTGTACAAACCACGTCCACACAGTGCTGAGAGATCTGGTGGAGTGGCTGAGGAGGCTTGGAACTTTATAGTGTATTGTAGAAATGAAGCGAGATGTTTCCCTCAGAGATAATTTAGTATAGGTTGAATTAAATGAAATATCAAGTTTAAATCCAATTATTAACTCAGTCTCTACCATTTTCTCAAGTGCAATAAAGTTGTTACAGCTGCTGTGAGAGCAATATGACTGTACCAGCGGGAATATTTACCTTCCAGCCAACACCTGCAGCTTTCGACAAGCACCCTATCCTGCCATCTGAAATCCTCCAAATGTGTTTGCTTGCGTCAAACACATCATAAATGATAAACAAACCTGAAAAAAAACTCTCACCCACCCCCTGATAAACTGAATCCCTTTAACCCTCTAAACCTCAAACCACAGCGCGTCACCCGTATCTGCCACAAGTCTCACAGCCTTTACCACAAACTGACAAAACTAGCACCCTCTTAAACCCCAGCGTCCCTCAACACGAATACCCAACATCATGCTGGGATGCACACTGAGGGGAGACAGACGCCACCGCCAGAATACATCTGTTCCAAATAAGCACTTGACATCTCGGAAATTATACGCTTCCACATCTACCCGCAGCAGAGAGACCAGGGACAGTAAATATATAGAGCTTATAAAATGATGATTCGACAAAACCATTATGTCTAAACACAGACAGCTTATTAGAGTTATATAGCCAGTATGATGTGAGGAATCTTTATATCCGTAAATAAGACTGAGCGCAGTTTATTTGGTCCTGTAAGAATAGACGGAGCATGCACTTACAATATCCACAGGCAGGAAATTATAGCATATGCTTGTATGGAAAGAAGACATATTTTGAGGTATTGGGAGGTAGAACACTGAGCGTAATGTTTTTTGTGTCCTTGTCACCAGCAAATTAGTTTGATGTTTTTCTAGTGGAACTCATACCTGTGAATATTCGTAACCCTCACGTCTTTACCCTGACATTCCTCTTCCATCTTTAAACCCCTTTAAACCAACTCGTTCTTCCCTCCACCCTCCCCTCCTGGTTGGGGATTACATTAAACATCCTGTCTACGTCCCAGAAACAACATGAAACAGCTCCTTAAAGACGGAGAGGAGATTGTAAACTTTTCATCTCCTCCGATCAAAGTGTCCTTTGTTTTTTCTTTGTGTTTACCTTCCTCTCTCCGTCTCTTGTTTACTTTCTTTCTTTATTTTTTCTTCCCTCCTTCCTTCTCTTGCCTCAGTCCTTTCCCCTTTACTGCTGTGTCTCTCCTCCTCTCCCACCTCGTATCTACACACAATGTCTGGAACACTAAATCCCTCATAGACATCCACAGGATGAGATTTCTCTCTGAGATAATACTCCAAAGAGGGATTTTACTCTCTGGAGAATGTGAAAATCATGCAAGGCTCAGTTCATTCAACACATTTGCTTTCCTGTCTGAACCTCTTGACACACACACACACACACACACACACACACACACACACACACACACACTTAGAAACGGTGACAAAGCATAACAGACATGTATCCCTCTCTCTCTCTCTCTCTCTCTCTCTCTCTCTCTGTCACACACATAAACACACACAGACACTCTCACTGACCGAGGTCAGAACACTGGACGACCCTGAGCTGACAGTGGCAGCCGAAGGGGCACATGGGTATGTCAGGGCCGGGGATCTCCTCTACAGCCGAGCCTTCTTCCTCATCCCTCATCATCGTCATCATCCCGCCGCTGTCCATGCTGTCCATGGCAAAATCCCAGAAGCCTCTCTGCTCGAAGGGCAGGGCCGAGGAGGTGGAGAGCAGCCGAGCCACGCATAGCAACAGCAGGAGGGAGCAATATGGCAACATCGTTAACTTATACACCTGAGAAAACACACGAAGAACGGAGAGCAGCATCAGTTTTGTTACACATGAATGTAAACACTTTAAGTTACCAGTTTAATGGTAAAGCAAGTAAAACTAATGCAGTATAATACAACAGCCCTACAATAAATCCTACATTCAAAAGGGTTGAAATGTTTATTGAAACTGCTTTATAGAGCTGTTGATTTAACTCTGTTGTCATTCTGGAGGCTTGAACTGTATTGCGTTACTAATCATTACTTCAAATGTATTTTGTCCTCTCCATTTAAATCAATGGGAGTATGAAAAGGAATATGCACATGACATTGAAATGTCTGGGATGTCAAAATGACAAAAAAAAGAAAGGCAAAGCATATGAGCAAGGCTGGATATCCCCCAGACAACGCAGGCGACTGCCCTGGGGCCCCAGACCTCCAGGGGCCCCAAACGTGTATTGTACTTGGGAACATGTGGGCAACAGTTCATCCCACCCTGCAGAGATTAGGATGTGGTGTATGTCTGTGCACACCAGGGCTCCCTAGATTAATCCAGCCACGTGGACAAGGGCTTCAAATTCATAAATAAGGATAATGGTCAGCAATAAATGGACATTGAAATGTTGTGAAATGGTCTGCCTATCCTTAATTATAAAGCCCTACTGTTCATACCACATGACAGGCCAACGGGGGCTGGAGTCTGGTGAGGTGAAATGGACTCATTCCCCCGGGGAAACCTGCCAGGAGTCAACTCTGGGAATGAAAGTCACTTAAACCACACCAACAAAATGTCACTGTCTGCTTCCTGTCCATTTCCCAAGAGAGTAAGTCACTTCTTCTCACTGACCAATCGGATAGCGGAAAGGACATCACCTCAGCGGTGGAAAACTTTATTCCTGCAACCGAGCAGTTAAACAAAGCCACCATTCATTTAGAGCTGAAACTGGGTGTGCAAGTGTGAGAGCATCTGGGTGCATGTGTTGGAGTTTGTACGCATGTCATGAAACACAGACTCCATGATGTCATAGCTGTGCACACACACACACACACACACACACACACACATACACACACTGCTGATTGAGGTCACTAGACTTGTGATCATGTGTGTGTCTGTGTTTTTTTGCTGGCTTCATCCTGCCTGCTCCGACCTCACTAACACCTCGGCGCAGCCTAAAATCGAATTCCTATAAAAACAAATTACCACCAGGCCAATTGATCCTTACGAGGGGATATCGTGACTCTTAACCTGAGGCTAATCCTATGAAGTAAATCCCAGTCCTACACTGGACTCTGGGGTGACTTAAAACCATATAATCTATAACCTTGTCGTGTTAATTCCCTTCTCTGATCCCCAGCTCCGTAATCCTACAGACGGCGGGGGAGTCTTGGTGCCAATGGTTAGTGCGCAAATGGACTTTCCAGGGAAGTTTAAGGATCCTGTAGCAACATGACTGCAATTTCTTTGGAACCAAGAGGAGAGCAAAAGTATGATTAGAAGTTTGCACTGAACTTCAAATGGAAACTCAATGCGACATGTCTTTTTGTGTGTTAATTACTTGTCTTAAGCTAGCCTACTAAATGCAACACCATTCAAACACTTGCTTGATCTTTGCCCTGCCTGTTTCACCAAATGTCCCAGGATTTTTCTGGTAGCACAGACTGTTCACAAGACTTGAAAGGCCTAAAAGGGAGGGATTGTAATAATAAAGCTTGTGAACGGGTTTCAGGGGATTTTTTTTAATGTTGGAGAAATGCTTCTCATTCCACACTTGGAACTGTGGAATGAGAAACTGATCCTACAAAAGTAGAGCCTTAACAAAAACACTCCACAAAGAAGAATGTGGTCAGAGAACACACTGTCTGAATATTGATAAACTTCAGTCCTAAATCATAAAGGACGGTGCATGAGAAAATTATCAATAAAGTTGCTTATGCAATCCACTGCAACTGTAGAGAGATTTAGCTCCATTCTAAGGAATAAAAGTATCACTGAGGGACATTAAAACTAAACTAAGAGTCTGTGCATGAGGTGGACCTGGCCTGAAAGCATGAATAACTGGCCCCTGCAGTCTGCTCCCTGCAATAAAAATAGCAGCTAAATTATACCATTTTGCAGAAAATAAAAAACACCACTGGCCTTGGCTTGGCCAGAAGAATGCAGAAAAAAAGGACATAGCGGGGACATACACGTATATATAGTCAGCATCACACAATGACACGCAATACACAAAAGAGCTGTAATATAGAAAACAACGGACTAAGCTTTCCACCTACGATTTCTGCAGCTTGTGCTTTGCAGCATTGTGGGAGGATTGGAACTAAAAACGTGGCACCCTTGCTCTAATCTGTGGAGTGCACAGTGATTTGTCAGCCATTTGTAGAGATGTGACAATAGATAGAGATTTGCAGATAGAGGTGTTGGGGACGATGGAAAGGTAGACAGGAACATAAATAGTCTATCATCATCCAGGAATGACGTCTAAGACTATAAACACAACATAACAATAAGACTTAATAAACTACATCCCACAATCAAGCAGCCTCTGTGACTGTAATGACCACTTTTATCTGGCCCTGGTATGTGTGTGTGTGTGTGTGAATTTACAAATTCCTCTCCTTTGCCTTCATTAAAGTTGTGAGCCACCAAACATCCGGTCCTAGACGAAAACAAACCAAAGGCTTCAATCTTAATTGTTCTGCTCCTATCCAAAGGCCAATGGAGGAATGGATCGACGGCTATTCTTGTCTCGCTCACTGTGTTTGTCTTCGTGGTGCTGTGGAATGGGGGGGGCAGACAAGAGTAAATGGAAAGAAAAAAAATAAGAGTACAATTACATTATGAGACAGACAGAAGAGTGGGAGTTGTGTGTTGGCTGTGGCGAGAGGGAAGTTTAAGGAAAGGAAAGTGTCTAATCAACACTTGCTTTGAATCAGTAATGTACACTATTTGGCCAAATGTATGTGGACACACTGGTGCAAATACATTCTTTTTTGTGTCTGGTTTTTCAGGGTTTGAGCTAGGCCTTTCAGTTCAAATAGACAGAAATTGTAGTACTATAACACCTTTGGCATGATTTGGAACGCCAACTGTGAGCCAGGCTTCATCACTCATCATCAGTGTCCTACTGATGCTCTTGAATGGGAGAAAATCCCTGCAGCCAGCGTCAAAGATCTTGTAAAACTCCTCCTCAGAAGAGTGGATGCAGTGGAATTAATGCCCACGCTTTTGAATTAAGATGTTCAACAACTACATGTTGACAACCCTAACACTTAACAAGATGACGGCTTCTCAGTCTCCTCTGTGGCAATGATTATTTTCCCTCAATAAAGCAAAGAAGTGAAGAAACAAGAGGAATTTCCCCATCTGTGCCAAAAATGTGCTCACACACACACACACACACACACACACCTATAATATCAAAAGAGGCTTTCATAACAGGTAACAGAAGACAGACACTTTGATGAAGATTTTAATTCCAGTGGTTTACTTTTGGATTTGAAAAGGTGAAACAGGATTAAGGGAGGAGAAAGAGCAACAGGGATAGAAGGTATGAGACAGGATTCAGGGGTGGATGCATGAGTGAATGGAGGCTGACAGACAAAAAAAAACACAGTGGTGTCATTGAAAGCACCATCTGGTGAACAATCCATCCTACAAGTGCATCAGTTGTTTGAGTTTCCCACACCCAGCGTTTGAGATTAGCTTTACATTTCCTAAATGCACTATCCATCAAGTGCTGGGTACTTGTCTGCTCTCACATCCACCGCAATTACTTTGATGTGACTCGAGTTCCCACAAGGCAGCATTTGCTCTTGACAAGCTAAACAAACATATATTTAAGATGTATGCTCTTTGTGTCGCCAAGAACAATCATCCCCAAGATACAACTCACAGAGTTTGGTCTCCCAGGACCGCGGTCCAGAGAAAGGCACCTTACCTCCCACCCAGTCCTACGCACAACCCCCACTTTCTTTTGACTCATAGGAATGGCTGCCACCCTTTATTCACGGAAAAAAATGTAAAGTCATCACAATCTGTTTTATCACAGAACGGTTTATTCACAACTGATGTTCTCATCTGTGTCTAATGTAAATGTCGAACCCTTTGGCACCGCCATGAGCCGCAGCTGCCAAAATGCATTAAGCTTTACAATATCGATCAAGACATAAAACGCTGGCTCATTATTTCTGAGTATTCATATTCAGGAGCACATAAGCTCTGCTCCGTAGACTGCGTTGGCAGAGAAGAGTTAAAGTGGGGCAAAGTTCTCTCCAAAAGTGCCAGCTGGCACAAAAACGCTGGTGTATTGGCAGCCGCCACGTCAACACTCATTGCCGTTTAACATCACAGGGTGGTTCAAAGTGATCAACGTGCTGACTGAGCACAATATATTTGACACGGCCTCATATTGTGTTGCAGAGAATAGAATCTTATTTTGGCTGGAGTCGCTCCATGGTGTATTTATTTGTTTCAGTAACAGTTTGTTTTTCAAACCATCATGTTATTCTGAACAGGATCCAAGCTGTAATAAACTCTGACGTCCCAGAAAAAAAAACACATGTTTGCTTGTTGGAATGCAAGCTGTCCTAAACACAAATACACACACACACACATACAAACTCAATCACGTGTAAACCATCTATGTATTTTGGTCTCAGAAATGCCTCCAAAATGATCTGGTCATTTTGCTGAACTCCCTCACTTCCTTATGCCATGTCTCCTTCACTCCACACACACACACACACACACACACACACACACACACACACACACACAGGCAGTCACACACACAAACACCCTAAATTCATGTGCTCTTCAGACACAGGGTTAGTGCTAGGCGTGGCCGGTAGGAGCGTTCGGGTGGAGTTAACTGCCCCAGTGGCTGTAATTTGGTGACTGCAATTCCTAAAAAAAGGAACAGCTTGGCAACTTCTCTGATGCCGCCAAGCTTGGATGTGGTGGCAAGCTGCTCAATGCTGCAGAGACGAGGCCTGAGCAGAGCAGAGAGCAAAGAAATGCAGAAGAACAAAAAAGGACCAAATAAGACAACTGACCTGAGGATCCATGCACATGAGAAAAAAAAGAAAGAAAATGGAACAAACAGCTAATTCTGTTGTCAATACATGGCAAAGACAGAGCTCAATTTAACTTTGACTTGAATTTATAAAATGACACAGCCCTCTGCAGGGTGAAGATGATGAAGCTGCAGGGGAACTGTGAGTTTGCATTTAGACCAAATGATGATGCGACAGACAGGTGGAAGGACAGACTGGCAAGGAGAATCAGCAAACAGACAGACCAGCAGGTGCAGGGTGGTCAACCCACAGGCTGGCTAATAGGCAGGCGGGCTGGAAGGTCAGGAAACAGACAGATGAAGACCGTCTGGCCATCGACCCCACAGACAGACACTGTTTGCTCTGTCTCTTTACGGAACCATTGCTGGACATGAAGTCATCAGCACAAGACAGAATGAGGCCGCGGGGAGTCCTCAATGTTTGTTTGCTTCATTATTACCTGACAAAATAAAAACACAGCAAGCTATAATCTCCACGCAAGTTTCTCAGACCACAGTTCTCTCAACACATGACATTCTGAGCGCTGTGTGCAGAGGGTGAATTAGGGCAGGGCAGATGTCTACCAGAAGGAGTTGACTTGATTGGCACGTTCCACCATAATTATTCTCCCCCTTGATCATGATGCAGGGACGTAAATATCATGTGTTGCATTTAAAGTCCAATGGGAGCGTTGATTTCAGGATAAAGTGAGTGAAAAGAAAGGTTTCGCCCAATTATCATCATTAATGATCGCTCCCAGCAAGCACTCTCTGGAGACTCGTTGCGCCATCTGGTGTTACTCCGGAGTATGACAGCATCATATGCGCCGTGCAACAGGTAGCTGCCAGCTGGATGTTAGGGATACTTATTTAAATATAATAATTGTGAGGGAGGAAACAAATAATTTACAAAAACATTCAATTGGTTACGAGGTGCAAACTATGTAAACAGCGTGACAACTGAAAATATAAATGTTAGTGACATAAATCTCAGCAAAGTACGAAAAATGTGAACATGTTAGATGTAGCAGAAGAGTTCAAAGCTACTAGAATTCAAATTCTATTGATATAATAAAATTTCTTATCGCATGGCATTTGCATATAATTAATAACTTATAATAATAAAAAATAATAAAATATCAGCTGGAAGAGGAAAGTTGCCCCCTGGCCATTTACAAGACTGGAAAGTAAAATTAAAATAACCCATCACCCCTACCTTATGGATCAAATTAAGATATTATTCCAAAGAAGTTTGAAGGTTCTCCCTGCGTGTGTCAGATTATCCTGGAGATTTTTTTGAAGTCCAATATTTTTTGATCACATTTACGGATTATTGCAGTATTTCCCTGTGACATCCAGCCGCAGCTCCTTCCACACTGTGTGCCACTGTGAACCGAGTCAGGGCACCGTGTGTGCTAGTTCCAGTCCAAACCGAGCAAATGACTCAGAGCTGGGGGGGGGGGGTCAAGCCCATAAGTTAACAAGCCAGCCTCCTTTCTCCCCTTTTTGGATGAAAGAAGAGAAGAAGGAGGAGGGGAGAGCCTCCTACAGTAAGTAAGCGACATCATGCAAATAGCATCAAAAACTTTACAATATTATGGGAATGACATGGGATTATACTAAACATCATAACACCAATGACATATTACACAATTTGAGGTTCCTTGGGTGGTCCTTTATTTATTTGTACATCCATTATATATATATATATATTATTTTCCCTAAAGTAACATTGTTATATATATATATATATATATATATATATATATATATATATATAACAATGTTATACAATAGTATATATATAACATTTCCCTAAAGTAACATTGTGGCAATGTTTACTAAAGAAAAAGAAAGAGAAGGAGACGGTGCACTGTATATTAATACTTTGTTTCTCAAGGTGCAATTGACAAGTTTAACTTTCTTTGAAGAAAATGTAGATAAAAGACATTGTAATTTTGGAACGCCGATTAAAACACAAGCTAAAGCTTTGTCTGAAACATATCAGACAGACTTCCCTGCAGTGGCATCACAGGAACCCTCAGTAAGCTGTTATTGTTGCTCCCATAATAACATCTTACAGTAAAGAGCGACAAAAATGTGTTTTTATGCAGCTGTATTAAAACAGATTCTATCTATCTATCTATCTATCCATCCATCATCCATACACTGAGCAACACAGTTCTTTGATTACTGGGAGAGAACAGACACCACCGAGCTCCACCAAAATCATGCAGAAAAAAACATTTTTATTTCTGGGACTGTGATTATAAAACCTATGATTTTGCATCTTCTCACGGTTTTCTATTAAAATTCTTTTTCTCACTGACCCTCTGATTTCCTCTTCGTATTGCCAGCACCCAGAGAGAGGCAGCGAGTTTGGCAAGCCACACCATCTGGGAACTTTTCCGCCCCTGCACAAATTCGGCCACACAGGCGTTAGTTATCTACGAGTTATCCGTGAGCTCTGCTGCTTCAGGACTTTGACCAGCAAATCATAATCATTTTCCTCATCCTCCATATCAATACAAGAGCGGACACACAATCCTGCTCATATTTCTGTTCACTTATATCCTGCCTCTCTCTCAAAGAGTGCAGTATCCACAGAGGCGGAAAAGGCATGCAGACCAGATCAAGGGGTGTTGGCAGGAGACAGAGTTTTGATAAAGGCCTTTGCAGATAACATTCCTCCTCTCTCTGCTTCCTCTCTCCCTCATTTTGTAGGTTTAGTCTTTCACTCCGTTTCTCCCTCTTTATTTCTCTGTCTGCCCCTCTCTCCCTCTCTCGCTGTGGTTCACTTGATTATGGTGTTGGTCTGTAGCTAGAGGGCTTGGCATCCAAATTAAACTCATTTTGTCCTATACTATTGCTCAGCTAACGTGTCTCTAGCACACCCACTTGTTAGCTCTTGGGTAGGTGCTACCATAAGAGTATGAGAACGTACTGTATGTAACGATTTTGAGTGCAAGAGAGAGAAGTGAATAGAATTGACCAAAGTGTCGAGTGTGTTCCTTGATTTGGATTGCAGACCTATAAAAGTTGACTTCATAGTCATTAATGTTGCTGGCTATCAAGGAGAAGCAGAACAGGGGTGATGGCCGAGCGGTTAGCTCTCCCGCACTGCAGTTAGCACATTCTTGTTGACCTAAAGTAGTTGACCCTTAACACTGGAACCCAATCTCATGTTCTGACTCTACCCTCCAGCTTTCTCCACCATTCCTTGCTTTATCTGCTTATGCCTGATGCCCATCTGAGTCAGGAAAAGAGATTATTTTGCTGGCTTCTCTGTGTGTGTACTGGTGCTTTTTTGTTTTATCAGCAAGCACCCCCCTACCCCGCTCCTCCAATAACAAACGCAGGAAGCTGCTGGCTGTCGCTGGGTAAAACAGAGAGAGCAGGGGAGAAAAACAAAAAAAAAGCACTATGCTGCTCTACGGTCAACTTCTTTATCAAACAGGCTCTGGCCTCAGCTCGACGGGATGCAAAACATCTGTTGGGTGTGATGGGACGTCGGTTTAACAGTGTAGTTATTTCACACACGGGATGATGGATAGCAAAGAAGTGGCAAGCCCGTCAAATTTGTGACAAGCCGTGGAGGGGAGGTTTAAGGATTTAAGACCAAAGCTGGAGCTTTGTGTGCAAAACTGTGCAAAACTACAAAGAAGGGAATCTGCAAAAAGAGATCTGATGCAGTTTTGATCTTCTCTGCCTGTACATGCAGTAACTGCAGTATAAATGTGAATGTGCAGTTTCTTAGACAGTAATGTGCTGTTTGCAAAATGACTGTACAATTATGGAGAATGGAGACTGCACCACATGCACAAGACCGAAAGCAGAAATCTAACATGTGATTAGACGCCCAGGTTGAGAGAGTGAAAAGTAAATATGCGTGTGTATGTGTGTGTGTATTTGTGTGTGTATTCATATTACACCTTCAAACCATGCATGCTCTGTGCTCTCATAACCTTGTTAACTTTGTCAGTTGGTCGCCTCTCAATACCCCCGCTTCATTCTCTCTCGTATTAACTGTCTTTCTCTCTCTGCCTCCCTCTGAGTGTGTCTGAAACTGCAGAGTCTGCAGGGGACCTTCTGGTCTTCATTTAGAGCAGCAGAAACCCCGCTCTCTGCTGAAAACTCATCCCTGGAGTAACACGGCAAGTGCACCGCCTGTAAATCACGACACTGAGCACGACTCAACATTTTATCATTTTAATTATATGCATTACTTTAAGTGACATACTGCAAAGTGTATTGAGTCTTTGCACGGGTGAATTATCAAATTAGAGAGACTGCTGCACTTCCGTCAGCCCTCATGACATATTTAGTTTGTTTTTGTGTGAGTGAGACACTACAAATACATACAGATATCATGTTTGTTGCAGCCGTATTTGGTGTAAAACAACTGACGACATTGTGAGTTGAGGTGTCTTCAGAGTTTTTGTTAATAATACAGGATGAGAGGGATACAAGGTCGTTCCAGTGAAAACAATGCACCAGGGTTTGTGCTTTGTTTGTTGGCTCTGTTATGTTCCCACCAGGACTGTGTTTAGGGTATGTGACGCAGAAAAGTTGCGGGCACACTCCACACTCACATCAAAGAGATCAAGGAGCCGAAGAATGCTGCATTGTCATGTACGTAACGGTGCAGGAGGGCGACGGACAAGCAGCAGAACATGGAAAGTGAGATACAGTTGTGCCGAAAGATACACAGAAAGAGAGAACATTGCAACTTGGGAAGTCAACAAGGTTGGCAGAACAGAGCTTCTGTGGCTTTAGTTCCCAAACAGTAAAAGAGCTCTGAGCGTGCTCCTGCTCTCCGTCTCCTTTCCTTTTGGTCTTCTAGCCACATCTTATTGGAATCAGCGAGGCTTGAACTGCTGCTTTTCTCATCTTTCACTGAGCTCAGAGACTTTCTGAGAACAATCGCTGTATTGTGTCTTGAAAGTCAGCTTGTTGTTCTCCCCTTAGCTCCAGTAACCTCACCTTTTTCCCCCGTCTTCCCTCCTGCTAATGGGCAGCCCCAGTCCTCTCACGCACATATACTTGCACCCCAATTACTGTACACAGTCCGACAGCGACTTACGTCATCCATACATGTTTGCAGGCCCGGACTGAGGACCCCCTCACAGTCAAAGTGTCTCTATTTGCTGAGCAGTTGGTGGTGGAAGTTTATGTTGGAAGTCATCTGGTGATGAGGAAACCTGCGTGATGTTTATATTTTCCTTCCTAATGGGGCCCTTAGGTTCACACTGTGTCACCAGACTCAAGGACCCCATGCTGCAGTCCCAAGATTTGACTGCTTGATCACCAGCCGGTATCACTGTCACATCCAAACACCGCTGCTTTATTTCCACTTACACTGACTAAAGGCTCCACAAACAAGCCCCAGACTTAGTCTAGAGACATAGGTTAATCCATTTCAGTCTTTATTCTCTCAAAAACATCAATTAAATACTTTATACTTGAATGAATATACCTGTGCTTTGAGCACCTCTTGATTCCACCACAGTGTACTCATCATTTACACTTCAAAGAGCAAAAATGATTATTTCCATAACTGTGTAAATTACACATTTGCTTTTGTACATACAAAAATATGACTGTCATTTTCCTAATGAAAGGTGAGATGTGAAAGAAAAAGATGGGTTTGGGGATGATAACATAACACTGACTGACTAAGCAAACTACATGATGATGCTACTTTTCTGTAAAGCCTGCCTACAGAAAACCCCCTGAAAGTATTGGTTAGCTGTGTGTCACAATGATGCACATGCGTACATTGTGGGTATGTATTTGTCCATGTAAATCCTTCCCACGGTGTGGTCTATTGGTCATGTGAGAGCCTCCGTTGTGGATAGAGGACCAGTCCCTGAGCATCTGTGAGACAGGAGAAGGCATTTGGGGGAATCCTCTCCACATCCAGCAGATTATTTTCCAAGTGGATCGAAGCCAAGGTGGAGCCAGAATTACGAGGGTGACACACTCCCCACTGCCTCACCAGCCTGTAACCACAAGATACGTACACTTAAATTTAGAAATACTACATCTAAGGTTTTCCTTCCACAAGTGCTGATTTGTTAGTTTCCCCAAATGCACAAAAAAGTGCGAGCTGTAAAAGTGCTTTGGCAACCGGTGTTGGAGCATGCCGTTTGAGGGCGTAACAGTTGATATAGTTGTGAGTGATGGAGAGCGAGCTGTAACCAGCATGTCTTTTGGTGGTCTAACAGTTTATACTCTGAATACACTACAGTACATAACGCACTACAAATAAATGTGTCCCGTAGATTTCACGACCTTGCAGTCAACACTGCTCTTCCTTTGGTCCTCTGTAATGCATCTGCCAAGAGTGTGAAGTCAAGCGGACGTTGATAAAATCAAAGAGCAGACATACATGTATACATATAAACAGACAGACAGACGGACAGAGACTCCTTTCATTTTAGTTCGATGATGAGGACGTTTGTTGAAATGCTGGCTTTAATAAATGTTTTTTCATAAAACACTGAATGTGCGACGATATCCTTCCTTGCTGCTTTGCCAAGCTACTTAGAGTAATTTCAAAAGAGAAATAGTCGTAGCAGAGCTAATGGTAGTAGGACAGGATTGGGTAACAAGCAAGTAAGCATTTAGCTTATCCCTGCATTTTGAAAATCACATTAAAGTATGCCTCTACCTGATCTGGTTGTTGTCCAGTCTCAACACCTGCAGGTTCTTGAACTGTCGAACGCAGCGAGGGACCTCACCCAGACGGTTGTTGTCCAATAGGAGCTCACCCAGTGAGTGGTACGCTCCAACAAAAGAGACTCGTTCCAATCCCTCATTGCTCAAGGAATTGTGGGATAGAAGGAGGGACTGTAGGCTGGACCGCATGTGGCGGAACGTGAAGGCGGCGATGTGACTGATGTTGTTGTGTTGGAGGCTCAGTTTATGGAGACGACGGGGCAGATTCATTGGGATAGAGGTGAATTTGTTGTAGGACAGGTCCAAGGCCTCCAGGGACCTGAGAAGACACAGAAGAATCATGACTCTCGGTGACATATCTACAATAAAGAATTCTACTTATACATTGATTTTAAACAGCCATGTCAGGCTGTCGGACTGTTGGCCCGTTCATCACTTTGGTCCAGACAGAGGTCTCTCAACAATTATAAGATTGCATTGATGACATTCATGGTCCCCAGAGGATACATCGTACTACAACTTTTTCCTCGAGCACCAACGGCAGGTCAAAGTTTGCACTCATCCTGTGAAATACCTCAACATTTACAAGATGGATTGTAAATGTGGTGATCCCCCAGCTTTTCCTCTAGTGCCAACATGAGGTTGACATTTGTGGTTTTGTGTGAAATGTCTCAACAACTGTTGGATGGATTGCTATGACGTTTGATACACACATTCATGTGCCCCTCAGGAATACTTTGGTTTATGACAAAATATTTGCAAAACTTGTAACATTTTAACCAGCCTCAGCTGTGCTTTGTGTTTAGAGCTAGGAAACAATGTTGATACGCTAAAGTAAGCTGGTGATCATGTTGAACATTACACCTGCTTGACATCAGCATGTTGGCATGTTTTACAGAGCTCTAGATTCAATATAATAATGGATGCCCACTTCCACTCTATTTCCAAGGCCTTTAACTGCAGACCTGATGTTTTAAAGTTACTGGGCTCCCGCATAGTGCTGTTGGGGAGGCAGGGAGTTAGGAGTGCAGAGTGGGAGGCAAGGCAGTGGGGAAATCATGGGAGCAGCTGGGGGGAAAATAATAGGTCCTGAGGGGGTGCAATGTAAGAGAGTCTGGCAGTCTGTGGGGGAATTTGTGGCTGAGCGGCAGATAAGGGCTATGAAAATGTTTGGTTTGCGGGAAAGAGAATAGACGGCCATAGACGGAGGACCAAGTTTCAGGGGTCTGAGGTGAAGGTGCCTTACGGGGGTTCGGTGTTTTTGTTTTAAGATCCAACACAGCTGTTGTGAGTTTACAGCACAGCTCACCGCAGCAGAGGAACCTCATTTCCTGTCCATTCATTTCCATCCATACACCACACTAAACAGCCAATGGGCGCAGAACACCCCAAGGTGGGAAGCCAATCACCGCACAGTAAAGTAAAATCGGGACCAATGAGGAGAAAGAGAGTGAAGGGTTATGGATGGAGGAGACGCTTGTGCTGGCATCTGTCTGACTGATATTCGGTGCCTCAGCATTTCTGCTCCTCGTAAAGGTGACTTACAGTAAGACCTCTGCATTAACTCGCCCCCCTTGAACTCTACAACTCCCAGGTTACATTAATCACTGGTGTTTTTGTGGGGTTTCTATTTCCATGAGATAGATGGTGTGTGTCAATGAGAAGGGGTTAAAATCCCTAAATCAATCAAAAGCAACTTCTGAACATTTGTCAGTATCCCAGTAAAGTTCACGGTTAGCATGAGGCCTTCCTGGCTCAGTTGAGTCAAACAAAGGCCACTGTAGGCTTCAGGAAATCTGAGATATAGGTTACATGCAGTTATAGATTTCTGTGAAAATTCTGTTTCTACTTGAAATTTTTTTTTATCAGATCTCAGTTGCAGTTCAGACCAGTTGTGTGCTGATTCGTATTCTAAATTGCCAGGAAGCTCAGCAGCAGTCCACCGCTGCTTAGAGCTCCACATGGTATTAATGAGCGGAGGAACACACAGTCCTCTCCTCTCAGAGTCCTCCCCCCTCGACACTCCCAATAACTGTAACACGCACACATCAACACACACACACACGTTAAACATGATGTGAAGAAGAAACACTAATGCGCACACTCACATGCTTACAGACACAGAGATGTGCCAAGAACATGTATAAACAAACAAACATATGCATTTGAAAACAGACACTGTACATACAGTGCATTCAATCAAATAGGCACACACATGCACTCCTTTTCCGAGATTAATTAATTACTAAAAGATTTAAAGAGAGGTAATGTGTGTGTCCATCTTTTTGTGCAAAGCATGGCCAGGAGTTGTCAAGCTGATGGTCTGCTCATCCTCAGGGTGCTGGGTTCTAATGGGAATCAGCACACAGAGGGGTTTCTCTGTAGATAGAGAAGCACAAGTACATTTCATACATATACACACAGTGCCATCTAGGCTGAGCCTACCTTGCCAGCATTGCACAAGTTGGCTTATGCACTTTGGCAACCTAGCCAGGATAGGTAAGGTAGCCAGGCAGAGCGGCTGTGGCAGGCTAGATAGAACGAGACTGAGATGATGGATGGATGATAATGAAGATGTCTTCAGCTACATCAAGTCATTCGTATTTTAGGCATTTGTCACATCTGTTGGGTACAGACTTAATGAAAACCAAAGATCACTTAAATCAAACTCCGAAGTTTTCACTTCGGTGTGATGCTTTGGTAGGTGAGTGTTTTTGTGTGGTGGTATGTGCATGTGTGCTGCTTGCTTTCCCATTTATATAAGGTTATTACGAAACCAATTTGTGCTGGTCCGAAGATAAAAGAGCTTTCGTTTCCAGTCCTCAGGCTCATAACATAACACGACACACATCTTTTGGTGTGGCGATCAGTGAACCTGTGCGTACATGCAGTCGGTCTGAGCCCGCAGCGATGATACATTTACGCAGATGTCGTCTCCAACGACAGCCTCTCTCTCAAAGTGACACAACGAGAAAAAAAACAAATGGACAAAGATTCCATCAGTCAAAGCTGCAACGTTTCAACAACAATTCTGTTCTGTGTCACTTATTAATAAAACACGACAATGTCATTTCACTAGCAAGTCTGTTATGTTTTTGATGTAGAACACGTGTAGTATTATGTACTTTCAGCTTTATTTGATGGCATGAATTCAAAACTGCAATTGAAAACATATAACTCATGAAATATATATATTTTTGAATGTGATTATGCAGCTTTAATCAGTGGAAGTAATGTGAACATGCTCTGGTTGTGTTGGATTCAGGCCTGGTAGCTTGCAGCAGTGATGGCTGGTAAGTTTTTATCGAGTGGAGGAAGAGCGGATATGGAGGCATTTAAGACCGTTATTTAAACTGACAGGTTCATAAAGAGCCAGAAGAAGATGCTAAACAAGCGCGTGTGTGTGTGTGTGTGTGTGTGTGTGTGTGTGTGTGTGTGTGTGTG